TTCTTAATTTAAATGCTTGTAATTGAAATTATAAAATATTTAGTGTTAATGAATCACAATATTTTAATTATATTTAGATATATATAATTTTATTTGGGTATAATAAAATTAACAAAAAATAATTATAAAAAATGAAATAAGGTTAACCCGCGGGTTAACCCGTAACCCGTTAGGGCCGGGTTAGGGTTGGATGTTTCCAACCCGCAACCCGTTTATAACCCAACCCGTCTAACCCGTCACCCGAGTTGACTCGACCCTAACCCGACCCAACCCGCCCGTTTGCCAGGTCTAGTTCCAATGGTAATTAAAGCATTGAACCATTCAGTCAAACGATTTTTTTGGTTTGAACGGTTCCAATGGTAATTAAAGCATTGAACCATTTAGTCAAACGATTTTTTGGTTTGAACGGTTCCAATAGTTCTTGTCAATTTTAAATGGTTTGACAGTTCAAACGTTTTAAAGAATACACCCGAGCTGTTTATACTACCAGGCAAGGTTTTTAAAACCGGACTGGATCAACCGGTTGAACCGATCGGATCGATATCTGGTGATAAAAATGGTTCGGTTTACATAAGAAAACTGTTTGATGTCAAAACCGATCAAACCGGTGAAACCGAAAAAACCACGGGTTCAATTTCTCATGCAATATTCTTTCAATTTTTTCCAATTTCACCCTCCCCATTCCTTTCTTATACCCATTTTAACCTTTAATTTTAACAAAATTACAATATTATCAGACACCAAATTAGAAAACCCCCGTTGCAACCTGCTCTTTGCTGTTTGGATCAATCAGTTCATCGGTTCAACCGGTTGAATCGGTTAAATCAATCGAACCTGAAAATGGTTCAATGATCGGTTCGGTTTTAAAAACCTTGCTACCAAGTACCAGTCACCTGAACTGTTTATACTACCATGCAAGGTTTTTAAAATCGGACCGGATCGGTCGGTTGAACCAATCGAACCGATATCTGATGATAAAAATGGTTTGGTTTACATAAGAAAACCGTTTGATGTCAAAACCGATCAAAACCAATAAAAACCGATGAAAACCGATTAAACCGATGGAACCGAAAAAACCGCCAGTTCAATTTCTCATGCAATCTTCTTTCAATTTTTTCCAATTTCACCCTTCCCATTCCTTTCTTATACCCATTTTAACCTTTAATTTTAACAAAATTACAAAATTATCAGACACCA